AGGCACCCTGCTCCAAGAGCAAAACCAGTTCCTGTTCAAAGATACGAAACGTTTGTTTTTCCTCTGGATAAGGACAATTAGCTAACACAAATAATACTCCAATCACCAGGTGAATCTTGGACGAACTATATGTAACAAATGGGGCTGTCAAGCCCTCTGTCTTGAGGACTAATTGTTTATCTCAAAAACATGGATTTGTAGGGGTGAAAGGGGATGATTCCTTTCCTTCCCAAAATAAAGCTCATAGCTGACAACCCCTCTTATAACAAAAGACAGGTTTACGAGAGACAACATAACAAATTTATGTATATGCATAGCAGGTGCCATATCAAAAACATACAAAAAAATCAAAGAAGTGAGTTTGGGAAAAAATGGTGGACTAGAAGCAGCTTCCCAACGGCCTCTTCCGGCAAAATTAGGGAAAAGTGCTGGCAGCAGCCACTGTTTGGATCACTCTGCACAGAAAAGCACTGTGAAATCAGAGAATCGATGCAGGACACCGGGAGGGAAAAAAAAAAAAAGGAAATGAACAAAAGAAACAGGTGCTGGAGAGACATGTGTGGCCAAAGTGGAGTGCAGGGATCACTGGGTGATCTGGGCGCCTGGAGGCCCACACTATACCCAGCAGCCCCCTGATGGGCTGGTCCAGGGCCCAACCTGAATTCTGTTCAGAGTTATCTCACCAGACAAGGGAGCAGAGGGGAGCAGACAGCCACTGGGGCTCTGTTGAAACACTGGGTGCTTCACCCCCGCAGTGGACTAGGGAGGGAGTACATCTTGCCCCGGCTCCTCGGAACGTATCTAGGGACTTGAAACCAGGCGATTCCCCCCTGGAGCACAGGGGCATCTGAGCGGGAGAAGAGATGGGGACAGGGCTGGGAAGGCTACAACCTATCAGGAAACAGCAGGCCATCCCTCCGGATCGGTGGGTCCCAGGAAGGGTGAGGAGACCTACATGACGCTGAGAGCACAGGTACCCCCGTGAGCCCCACCTGATGCAGCTTCCAAGCGGTCCAACCACCCTGCAGATCAGCCTGCCCCCCCACCCCTCCCACCCCACCCCCGGCCAGCTCAGACTCCTCCCTCCAGGTCTGAAAAGCCGCCTGCCAGCTCGTCCCCCATCCAGGTTCCGTCAGTCCGGGTGCTGTTTGGACACTGTGTCTCTGTCTCATCAGAGCCCAAAGTTCTGCCCAAGGTCCAAAGCTCTGCCAAGACCTCCCCAACCTAAGGTACTCAGAGAAGGGTGTAGGAAAATCACATCCCCGCCGCGGTTACCGTTTATGGTAAAGCGCCATCTAGTGACCGCTCCTTAGTCAAATCCAGCAGGAAAATCCCCAGCTAGGATTTACAGATAGCCTAACTTTTAGCTCAAAGTTAAAAAGAAAACATAGGTGAGGAGAAATCAGCTAAAGAACCATGGAAACATGAAAAATAAAAACATAAAAATAA